ATCAGAGGTTAAGAAAGTAATAGCTTAGACCACGTACATTCATCGGGTCCTTTGGTTACTGCTTTGATGCTTATCCATAAATTGCTTGATTTCAAGAGCTTAATTGCACTTAAATACCTATAGTTTCCCATACTTCTATGTGTATATCCTCACTTGTTTTTGGCAACACTTATCTACCTTATAATTTTTAAAACTTGCATTTAAATATCATCATTTATTTTGACCGCACTTGTATAAATTGAAGTTTTTATAATTGCACGTCAACATCATAAAGTTTCTAAAACTTACACTTAAAGCCCTCACTTATTCAAAATTAAGGTTTTTAAGTGCGGTTTTTTAAAACTTTAGGAAATTTAATGTGAGTTTTAAAAACTTTAGGATACTTAAGTTAGTGGCGGAGCAGGAATTTATAGTAGTGGTATCACAATATATATAAATAGATAATATTACCAATTTTTCTCTTATATTCAATATAATTAAGAACTTTAATGTGATACAAGAGATATATTTAACTAAGTACAATTATAAGCCTCATTCAAATACCACTAAATACATTCAAATACCAGTAAATACCCTTATGTGTCCTCATTTTATAAAATCGTTGCGTGATTATTAGCCTCATTCAAATACCACTAAATACATCCTTTTTAATATAAGCTACTAGTCTGTCATTCATTTATTGATGTACCCTTCGATTTCAATACCATTCTTTTCAACATATATAGGTTACTTAGTTTGTTATTTTTCTTTTTTTAAAATATTAACTATATGTATGATAGTAATAACTGGAGTGAGAACTAATGAATGAGAGACTAAACTATTTCTTATTACCATAGGTTTACACCGAGGGATGACATGTCCTTATCTTTTTGCATTAGTTATTGACCAACTTATTAGGCATATTCAGGATGAAAACTCATAATGTATGTTATTTATAGATGATATAGTTTAGTTGACGAAACTAGAAGATGTATAATTTCTAAAACAGAAAGGTGGAGACAACCTCTTGAATCTAAAAGTTTTAGAACCAGTGGAGCAAAAATAAAATATATAAAACGCATTTTTAGTAAAACTAAGAAAAGAAAAGAGTATATAGTACATATTAACAGTCAATAAATATCTAAAAGTAATCATTTTTATTACTTAGGATCAGTATTCAGTATAATGATGAGATTAAGGATGATGTTGTCCATCGAGTCAAATCACGATGGTTAAAAAGGAGGAGTGCTTCGAGAGTCTTATGTGATCATAGAATATCAATAAAACTAAAGAGAAAATTCTATAGGACATTTATAAGACCAACAACGCCTTATGAGTCAGAGTGTTGGGCAATTAAAAAATAACATGTGTAACAGAAATAAGAATGTTGCGATGGTCTTGTAGGTATACACTAAAAGATAGGCTAAAAAATGAGTGTATTTGTAGTAAATTAAAGATTGTTCCTATTAAGGATAAAATAGGAGAGAACCGACTTAACGAAGGAACCTCTAATTCAAGATAAAATGAAAGCTATTATGAAGGATAAGATTATGTTTAACTTAACGGAGGTGATATCCCATAATAGAATAGAATGAAAGAACAAAATTCATGTAGCTGACCCCAAACATTTGGGATAAATGCTTTGTTGTTGTTGTTATTGTTGTTGGTACTTAGGGTTTGGGATTGGACTACTTTAGACTTGACTCATTAGAGATAAATCTCAAATGCATCACTACTAGTTATTTAACTTTACAATGATGTCACAAATGGATCATAAATTAGTGCATACTTTTTTTTTTTTGCTAGAGTGTGGTGTCGTCGACATCACCCTCTATATTATAGCTACACCCAAAGGCAAATCTATTGCCTAAGAGCATCTCCAACAGCTTCCCAATTTCCCACTTTTGGAGAATATAGTTAGGTTTTTGGTCTAACAGATTCCCCATCTCATTCCTCAAAATAGGGATGGAGGAGAAAAAATGGGGAAGCTTCCCCAAATCTGCATCATTCTCTAAATTTTTGGAGGAAAAAATGGATTCTTCAAAATGGGGAAGCTGTTGGAGTTGGTGTAAAAATTATTTGGAGAATATAACTTTTGCTTCCCCATTTTGAAGAAAATTTTAGAGAAGCTGTTGGAGATGCCCTAAGCTAGCGGTGCAATTGCACCCTTAGAAATTTATAATCTGCATGTAAAGTCATGCAAAGTTTACATTTACCCCCCAAAATTTTTAAAATGGCACCCTAAGACCCAAGCAACCAAAAAACATTAGAGAAATTAGTAACAATTCGAATTAGCCATTGGAAAGTAAAATGCAGATTTAAAAAATTAAAAATAAAGTGTACTAAGTACACTCTCATCATAGACTATGGTTTTATAATACTATATTTTATTTTTAGATATACAAACACTTGTTAGCCCTACTCCCACCCCCGCCCCCCTCATGGAAAAATTTATTGATCTGCTCCTGGCTACACTCATTTTTTAAGTGCTGTTGATGCCATTTATCAAATAGGGTATTTATTTGTGGATTATAGTGGTGTTAGGGTCCTCAAGCTTCTTCAGATGACTAGCTCTATAGATCGTCATAAAGAACTCGTAAGAGGCCAGAGTTGGATTCTCCGATTTCCTCCGACGATTAAGTGAGTGTTTAAGCTTGAATGAAATAAGTGATAAGATAAATTCAGAGTGGCCTAGAGCCAAAGAGATTACCTCATGCAGCACAACTTCCTTTTTATAGCAGATCAGAAAGGCAAAGAGGTAACTTTGGCCGAGTACAGATAGACAACTGACTCGGCAGATGTCTCTATAGGTATCAGCTACTGAAGTGGGTGAGTCATCCTTGATTGGATGTGAGGATGATCGAGGGGGGTTGGTGAGTGATGAGTCATGAGGACTCGTGGCACCAGCTGTGATGATGAGGAGTAGCTGTTGTTGTGGAGTTCGAGGACGCACCGCCTCTTGACTCAGCTCTACAAGTGAAACAACAAGTACCACCTCTTCGAATTGGCCATGTAAATTGTCGACCTATGGAGTCAGGTGCAAGAGTGATTCAAGTTGTCTGGGCTCTAATCATATCTGATCTAGTGTGGAGCGATGTGCATGTCAGCTCCACAAGAAAGATTAACACTTAGTAATTTACAGGCTATAACAATGGCAGCTAGGCTAGCGAGGCCGAGTACAACTGCTCATGCCGAAAGGTCGGAGAAAAAGAGAATGAGGTAGCGGAAAGCAAGTGACCGAGGTCCCCGTGGGGGTGCCAAGCCGGCTCAGGCTCGGTCGAAAGGAGGAGCAAGTGCAAGTTTTACAAACTTTGTAATATATAGCTATATAAGTGCTAAAAAAACAAGTGATACTATGTAAGTGTAAGTTTTAAACACTGTAAGTTACATAAGTGTTGCCAAAAACAAGTAAAAGTAAGGGTATGTAAGTGCAAAGTAGGGAACGTACATGGTATTTAAGTGTAGTTAAGCCAATTTTAATATAATAAAACAATAGATATTCAGGAGAATATTGTAATCCAGTACTTTCCTCTCTAAGTCCAGTTTAAAAATTAGTCCCTCTGATCATACTTATATACCGTTCAAATTGTTAGTCAGGTTGAGTCAATGGTAAATAGGAGTAGAATCTAAGACGGTTTAGCTGAGTTGATAAGGTGCACATGAGTAGTACTTTGAGATTCAGGGTCGACTCTCTAAGGAAGCATCCACAGTAAATTAATTTTTTGGAATACTCGAGGCCTTGCGTTGGAAGTGCCCCTTAGCCTCGCGACCCGAAAGATCGTGATGAAGTTTCCTCATCAAACCAAAAAAGTGGCATAGTTAATTCATTAATTATGTTCCACTTAATTAATACTTAAAATATTTCCAATATGTGCTTAAGTGAAGTTTTTTGATATACCTTGAAAGTGATTGTTCTAAGTAAGTTTATTTCTGCTTTCAAAGCTCGAGTTTAGATTCAAATGCATGACGGTGTAACTGGCATGGCGTTGAAAAATATTAAAAACAACTAGAATATTCCATCAATTCAGAACAGTTCAAAATTTCAGAGGACTAATTTTAAAATACAGAAATTTAGGAACTACTTTTAAAATATGAAAAACCTGAGGGCTAATGTCCCAAAAAACCCTACAACTTTCAGTCGATTAAACAAGCGGTGTCGTCACCGCTCTCTTTATCCGCCACCCGTCCCTTTCAAAATCCGATGATCATCGTTTACAGCAACCTCCAGTAACTTTACCGCATGATATCCTACATTCACATGAACAACTTCTGTCGAGTGTCGTACAAAACTCCAACAGTGGAGCGTAATCAGACCGGATAGTTTAAAAAGCGAACAGAATTTTACCAAAATCAGCCAAATCTACTATTAATTAGGGAGACCCTTGTCCGTCTTTTTTTAATTATATTAACCGATCTGGCGGTTTTAGTGGTAACTAATTAGACCGGAGTGTTTCGTATTAGTCCTTTAAATCTTCAATATCTGCAATTAGTGCCTCAAATCATCAGAACAGTCATAGTACTACCTTAAATCTTTCATATTTTGAAATTAGTTCCTCGAATAATTGAAGTTGCTTCTGGTTCCCCAAATTGTTAAATTAGTACCTCCAATCAAAAGTACGAGTAGCAATTAGAGGGAAATTAAGCCTTCAAATAATTTGAAACGTTTATTTGTTTATTAGGTCCCCACAATTATCATAAGTTTCGGCCAATTAACTCCTTTAATTACCGATTCTACTATTGATTTGAGAGATCTATTTTAAAATAACAATCCCGATGATTTAAGGAGTAATTTTAAAATAGCTTAAAAATTAGATGATCTAATAGTAATTCCAGCGGTTTAAGGACTAAAGTGATGATATATGGAAGTTTAAGGGACTAAGATTGAATAAACCCTTCAAACTAGGTAATAATGGGAATACCATAGAAAAACCCAAATATTAAGATTTAAATATTAAAGATTTGAGGTGTAAACTATGGATCAAAGTGCAAATAACCCAAAGAACAAACCGAACCAAAACCAACAACATACACCGCCTTGCTCTTTAAATAAAGTTTCTCTTCTCTTTGGCCTTCACCTGCATCCCCAATCCATCCTCTCTTCTCTGAATGATTTTGGAAGAGGTTGAAGAGAGGAAAGATCCAATCTTTGTGATGCTTTTGTTGGTCTTTATTAGCTTTTTAGTTTGAAATTTGAATTTTTTTCCCTGGGTTTATAGATTTTTTGACCAGTACTGCACTTTGTCTTCTTGCATGCGGGTTTTGATGCGTCAGTGACTATTTGAATGAAATGAAAGAGGCTGCGGCGAGAAAAAGTCTGATTTTTTTGGGTGATGAAAATGTCTTTTGATTTATAGTTTTCATAAGTTTTTTTTTGTTTAGTTTGATCTGAATTTTTAGTTATTTGGTGAATCTTAGAGCGAGGAAGGTAACGCGTCAAGGGAATATTGTGATTGCTCAAGAAATGAGAGTTTTTTGTTAGTAGGGACTCTTTTTTTTTTCTTTGCAAAAATCCCATTTTAGTGAAAAACCAGTTTATTTTCTCCTCACATTTTCTTTTGAAAGGAGAGGAGAATACTGCACAGTAATTGCTCAGCTTTTGATTGGCTTTTTGGGTATTTATCCCGGAGGTGTATCCCAAAATCAGACCAGGTGAGCTCCTATTTATTTATTATTTCATATATATAGTAATATTCTTCTTCTGAAAAATATAGTTGTTGGTAGAATTAATCTAAAGAAATAGGAGGAAGAGCCATTCCTTTAACTTTATTAACAACTTGTTTGTTCTCAGTTATAAGATTCACTCTCAACTCCTTTCTTTCTCTATATTTCCAGTGGCCTTTCGGTGATTATAAGTTGAACTCATTGGTTAGTATGCTGAAGAAGAACTCTAGGCCAGTGAGCAACAAGCAAAACCTAATGGCTGATCATCTCTCTCTTCCTTGTCCGACTGCAAATTACAATAAACCCCCTACATCACCTCTCTTCCCTTTATCTCCAAGGCTCTACGGAGGCTTCTCCCCAAGGGGCAATTTGGATATTGACGCTGCGATGAGCCCGACCTCCATTCTCGAGACAAAACCCTTCACCTTGACCCGAAACCGGTTCTCCTCCGACAAGAACCATAGAAAATCCGTTGCAGAGTCGACGCATGAGCCTGTTGGGCTTGGCATTGTCGACTCATTGAAGAAGCCCTCAAAGCCTGAAAACAGAATGGTCCTCAAAATTCAAATTCCTTCATATAGTTGTGAGGAGTCTCTGCAATCTCCTACTATTGAGTTTGGGGTCAAGAACAAGGAAGCTCAGCTTTCGTTGCTCTCTCCGGTGAGGAGAAATCCAATGGAGACCGAGACTTTGGTCTCTGGTTGCATTTTGAGTAGAGAGATGGAGATGTCGGAGGACTATACTTGTGTTATTGCTCATGGGCCTAACCCGAAGATGACCCATATTTTTGACAATTACATTGTGGAGAATTGTGGCAAAGGGTTTGCTTCTATGAGTCCTAGGAAGAAGGAGAGCAGAGTCTCGGACGGTTTTCTTAGTTTTTGTCATGCTTGCAAGAAGAAGCTTGGGCAAGGGAAGGACATTTTCATGTATAGGTTAGTTTTTTAGTTTCGGTTATAACTTAATTTCTACTATTTTGATGGCCTTGTTAGATAAAGTTGATCTTGTGATTTGGTTAAATTTTTAGTTCAGTAGGGTATGTTTAAGGACTTGTGATCAGTTCTAATAGCAAACATTCTCAAGTAGGAATTCATATAACAATTGAAATTGATGCAAAAGGGCATAGAAATAAACCAAAATTTGCACCTTACTCTTGTGCAGGGAGATAGTTTCATATGCATATCTACGCCTCATTGAACTTCCATCTAGTTTAATATAAACCATCAATCTGGTTTTTAATTCAATCTAACAATAATTTAGAATAGTGTTGTAAGCTTCAAGCACTTGTGATCAGTTCTAATTAAATCTATGTTGATTCAACACATATTCTATAAAAGTTTATGTATCGATGATTTTTAAGTGACTTGCCCAATTATAACAGTATGTTTTCTGGGCACAATTTTTGTCAAATGGAAAAGGCCATAGAAATGACTCTATTATTGAATCTTGCTCCTGCGCACAATAATTTCAATAGCAAGCTTTTCTTTCAAAATCCCAAATCCTTCTCAATTCAAAGCTTCTCATAATGGTGTTTTCTTCTTTCATCCAGAGGGGAGAAAGCCTTCTGTAGCCATGAATGCCGATACCAAGAGATGCTTTTCGACGAAGGGATAGAAGATTGCTTGCCGATGGATAATTCTGTAACTCTCTAGCACAAGCTCAGTTCTTGGCTTCTGTCTACCTCTCCTTTCCTTATGGTTGAAATCAAAACTAGGAATTAAACCATGGTGAATGTGTTTATGTAATTTCCTTGTTGTAAAGTTTATTGGGGGTTGCTCATTTTCATCAAATTGGAAGAAAATGTTGTTTGCAAGTTTTGCTAGAGATCTTCACCAGTGTGACGTAGGGTTTCTAAACTTTTTGGCTTGAGAGAATAATGTATGAATCTTTGAAATGGTTATCTGTTTCCTGTTGTTCTATTCAGCAGACTTGATCTCAATCTTTCTTTGCTCTTATCATCTTTTTCAGGTTTTGCTGCTGATTGAGAGCGCAAACTATGAAGTGCGTATACCGTAGTGTGAATTTTTTTTTTTATCCCTCCACCTTCATCACAACTTTGAAGCATCTACCAAAATTCTAGGTTTTGCAAGAGAGATTATACAAATACTTTGCTTATGTCACTGAGTACTTTCTTTTTCTTTAGAGGATTATGACATGTATATAGTTTGTCTAATCAAACAATCAAGTGGAGCTGGATGAAATAATTTGCTTTTTGCTTGCACTAACCATCTTGTTTGTTCTTATCTATTCACTTCTTTTGTGTGCTAGTCGTTGTTGATTTTATTTAAAATGTTGGTGCTGGTTGTCTTTATGTAGACCTACGAGACCTACCATATGCAAAGCATTATCAAGGCAAAATTTGATTAGTACAGGTTAACTCAATTAATTAAGAATTAGTATTCATTGAGAGCGAAGACTCACATAAATAATGCCGTTTCTCTATTGATGATGGAAACCACTTCACATTTCATTTATAAACTTTGATGTGCATTGAATTATCCTAGAAGCATGACTAAAGGGGGGCAAAAAAGTCAAGTGTTCCGATCAGCTCTTGTCACTGGACAATTATTTGGCATGGAAGTCTTCAGTTGGTCAGGTTGATGGATTTATGGTTCGGTGACCAATCAGTTCTTCAATCACTTGAGGTTGAGATTTGCTGGAGTCAGTTCTTCAGTCACTTGAGGTTGAGATTTTCTCGAGACTGAATAATGCATATGACACAATAATTGACTTATTTGGATTCAGATTCAATTGTTCTTTTTCAAATCGGACTACATGACATGAATAACAAATCAAGCAACCTGAAAGCGGCGGGGAGCTTTGAGAGGAAAATATGTACAAATTATTATTAACAGTGGACACAATACATAAAAGGGGATGTAGCTCAGATGGTAGAGCGCTCGCTTAGCATGCGAGAGGTACGGGGATCGATACCCCGCATCTCCAAATTAATATATTTATACACCAATTTGATTTTGAGTTAATGTACATTTTTTTAAACCTTCTGCTTTGGCTTTGGCCACAGTGGTGGCTGGAATTGGCTGTTTAGTACTTGGAGATACATTTAGGGGCTGATTGGATGCTTCTTGTAAATATGGGTATTTATGACACTAAATAGAAGTGGTTGTCCACCTCAGAACTTTTCATTTTGAATTTTACATTACTTAGTTTGGATTCCTTGTGAATCATAACATAATAGCAATAACTTGTTTGGATTGCACAAAGTAAACTTGAAGAGTGATGATTCATTTGGACCCACCTAGAAAGATTAAAAATGTTAATATTTGATTACTTTATCCACTAATCCTTGTTGTTGTTATCCCTTACCCATTCTATAACTTTGCATTACCCTCTAATGTCGCAAGAATATCTATCATGATATTTGGAGGAAGGAGGAGAAGGGTTTGGAGGGAGGAGGTGAGGAGAAGATGAGAAAGAGTGAGGAGGAGGAGGAAGAAGTCGTTGGAGCTTAATGGGCTGTTTGTTTGCCCAAAAAAAAATGAGGAAAATGGTGATTTAAAAACCAAATTGAGTGCCACATAGGATTTAGGTTTCGGATGATTTCCATTTTACTTGTTTGGTTCGCATGACGATTTATAGAAAATGGGCCTTGAAATGGGGTTCCACGTCACATTTTGTAGAAATGTGATTTCAGGCTATAAAGGCATAAAAATGGGCGTAAATCTCCCCATTAAAATATTATTGTGGTTGATTTATCGAGGCGGCGGGAAGAAATATGGGAAACGCTTTTAGGGTTCCCTTCACCGCCTCTTCATCGTCTTCATCATTTTCCCCCCTTTCGCCGCTTGCCGTCTTCATTGCTCTACCTCCTTGATTTCTCCAATATTCCAGCCAATACTTCCAGCTGATGAACTTGAAGAGGAAAGAAGCCCTTGACGACTATTCAGGGGTTGTTTGTGTTAGCTCAGCCAGATCTAGTAGAAAAATACTATTTTTTGGGTGATTTCTACTTCTTATCTTCTTCTACTTGTTGTGGCGTAGTTAGATCTGCACCTGATCAGTCTGATTTTGTCCTTGAACAGGGATTCCCTCATCTTCACTCGCTAGAGGTTCGATCTGACTTTTTCTTCAGGTGTACCTCCTCATAGAGCAAATTAGTTATAAATTTTCACAATGCATCAAATTTTCTGAATTTATCCTTAAAAATTAACCTTATGATTTAGGGGTTTTTTGCGATCATAGCAACGATCTAAGTAACTGCATCGTGCAAGTAATTGAAGAGATTTATTCTTTTATTTAATCTTTTATCTCCAATTTCTACACTTTCTAAAGCCCCTGTTTTTTTGGTAATTTGTAATTTTTTTCCAAGTAATAATTGATCAAAGTTTGTTGCTCTTATTTCCTAACCCGAACATGAGCGGGTTTATTTCCCCTATCTGAAAGCTTCTAATTACATCCAGTTAGAGATTACAACTAGCTACTGTGACTGTCTGTTATACAACAAATTTTCATTCTTTAGTTATTCTGTTGTCATTTTTTGATTCGGATAAATTTAAACTGTTGTCATTATTTCAAGTCTTTAGTTAAACTGTTGACATTACTGTCAGTCTTCAGCTTTAGAGATTACAACTAGCTACTGATAATGTATTTAATTAATGTGCTCTATCATTAAAATTATCTGTTCGGTAATACCAACTTATTTACTAAATAGGGTGTATAATAAAATTATTTGCTGGGTAAGAGTGACTTTGGCCAAGTCTGAGAAGTAGTGCAAAAACCTGTTGCTATTTTACAAAAATTATGTGCTCAAAGGATGGTTATTCACTTGTGTATCTTTTTATGCATGATTCATTCACAGTAGTTATTCACTTGTGTTATCTTTAATGGTTATCAATAAGTCCACAATCCTACAACAAATAATTTGAGTATGGGGTTAATATGTATGTGTTTTGATTTTTAATTTAAAATTTTAACTTATAAGTAAATATTGTAGATGCATGGTGATTTTGATGATGAAGATGTTGTTATAAGAATGTGTGCTGGGGCTGCATCTTTAGTCATGATTATAGTTTTCACATTTTTGAGGAGAATAAAGTGTCGTCGTAGGTCAATACGGTCTGGATCAAGTGATGAAAGACTAAGGTAGGAAAAGACTAGGGCAGAGTTGATGAGTCGTATATATCACAGTTATAGTGATAGCTGTCAAAACTTTGTTAGAATACGCTCAGGTGCTTTTATAAATTAGCAAATTTAATGAGGAAAAAACATCTCTTAAAGGACTCAAGGCATATAATAATAGAGCAGCAGCTTGCCATACCATTGAATATATTGGGCCATAAATCCAAAAATCGTATGATGAGAACACAATTCATAAGATCAGAGGAGACAGTTAGTAGATACTTCAACAGAGTATTGCAAACTATTTCATACGTACAAGGTAGATATATGAAACAAACACCGAATGAAGTGCCTCAAGAGATCCTAAGCAATCCATCATTTTATCCATTTTTAAGGTATATCATACACTACCAATTTACGCAAATAATTCTCTAAACAAATCATATATTAATTAACAAAGTAAGTTGTACTCTATAGGATTGCATAGGTATGATAGATAGGACACATGTGGATGTTATGCTACCTGCTTCACTTGTTGCGTGTTTCAGAGTGCGCAAATATGTCATACAAAATATTCTTACAGCTTGTACACTAAACAAATTGTTCACCTATGTTTTAGCTGGGTTGGAGGGGTCGGCTAACGAGTATGGAATACTTCAAGATGCTCCATCTAGACCACAGCCATATGACTTACGGGTGTACACTGGTAACAATCTCGTTAACTCAAAGTAATTACTCACTAATAATTACATTACACAAATATAGTTAAATTACTGTGTAATATGTAGGTAAATATTACTTGTGCGATGCGGGGTACACAACCCAGTCGTGTTTTATATCCCCGTATCGTGGTGTTCGTTATCATCTAAAGGAATTTACGGGGAGAACACCTCAAAATAAGAGGGAGTTATTCAATCTTAGACATTCATCTTTGAGGTCAAAGACTGAAGCTACCTTTGGTATATTAAATAATCGTTTTAAGATTCTCACAGTAAAACCCCACTACCCCTTCCCCGCACAAGTTGACATCATTTTGGCATGCACGATTCTCCATAACTACATTGCAACAGTCGATTCGGGCGATGACTTTCTCAATGAGACCATTGACTTTGAAGAGGATGGTTTTGGAGAGGAAATTAATGAAGAAACCAACATTATGGATTTCACTCAGTCCCAAATAGTAAGAGAACAAAACGCCTCAAAGGATGAGTGGAGGTCTCGTAGAGATAAAATCGCATTGGACACGTGGATTGATTATCGTAGTAAATATCGGTATGATGACCCGTCTGAGTCTGCCTTGTGATTTGCTACGGTGGTCTGGATATTTTCAGTAGTACTTTATGTTTGTTTTTCGTGTAACTTAATGAGACTTTTTGTTGACTATGATGTTACTGAGTGACTTTTCCTATTTATGATTTACTTAGTTCTTGTTGATTAAATCACATTTGCACGATATTCATATGTTCACTATTTATCATTTTTGGGGGCATCAAATTACATTATTGCAATTACCTGCTACAGTTTGTATGTCATAAATTGATGACCTCTATCTTTATGCTTGCTATGACATTTGTTTTCATTAATGATTTGATTTCAGTAATTGTAATGATGTACTGACATTTGTTGCTTTAATCACACTTGCTCCTATTTTTATGACTCACATATGACTTGTTTAGAACTACATTTGTTGAAATATAGGAAATGGGTGATAAATCATCCTCCAAAGGGAATGATTTGGGAAAAGAGATGACTATTACTCACTCCCCAACTTCAATGACTCCACCACCTTCTCCTGCGTTCCGGGCAAGCAGTGGCTTCAACCACAGTTTCAATCCCATATTTAAGTCATCCTCACCCTTTGTACGGTCACTCTCAGTATTTTCAAATGTACCGCATTACGATGGTAACTTTTCCCTATGCTAAACCTCATTTCATCTTACATGCACATGCTCAGTAGTCCACCACCTTTGTCACAAACTTTTCAAGGCTCCAATTCATCCGGGCAATTTTATTCTCCAACTAGTATTATAGGGACTACTTCTGATTTAGGTAACAATAAAAGATTGGCAAAGGATCAAGTCGTAGCAACTTCAGCTTGTACACCAAGAAAAGGCAAATCTCTTGCCCATAAGAAAAGAAAAATCCA